GAGAAGTGGTGCCTCGATGCACGCCCGGGATCAGAACCCGGGCCTCCAGCATCGCAGCGTGCGCACTTAACCACCAAGCCACAGGGCCGGCCCCCAAGTTAATATTCTTGAGTACATTTTCTTTTCTTTTCTTTTTTTAGTGAGGAAGATTGGCCCTGAACTAACATCTGTTGTCAATCTTCCTCTTTTTGCTTGAGGAAAATTGTCCCTCAGCTAACATCTGTGCCAATCTTCCTCCATTTTTGTATGTGGGTCGCCGCCACAGTGGGCTGGATGAGTGACGTAGGTCCGCACCTGGGATTTGAACCCGCAAACCCTGGGCCACCGAAGCAGAGTGCGTGAACTTAACAACTGCGCCACTGGGCCAGCCCCATTGAGTACATCACGTCTCTTAGTATAATCCAGATTGCCTTATTTCCCTTTGATACATCTAATTTCAGATTCCAACTCAAATCTTATCCAGTCATCTTTAAATATTATAATATGTGTTTATCACTTTTTGGAAGTACTGTACCCAATTGAATGAGGCAGTTTTAAACTCAGTGGTTGTACATTGTTTGATATTTTGTTTGTTGTGTGTATAAGTCAACTTCTCCGTGTTGTGAGTTCTTTACTGATAGACTTTGTGAGTGTGTGTATGTTTCACTGTGGAGTCCTAGCCCTGAGCAGGTAGTGGGGTCTTCATAAATTCTAGTGTGATTGAATTCCACGATTAGAAAATCACAGAATTTAACCCAGGCCTATTGACTTCAAAACTCTGGGTTTCTATCAGATTGCCCCAGAACAAGTTATAATTCTTTTTCCTAACATAGAAAAAATATTAAATTCTATAAATTTTCTTAAAAGCTAAACCTAGTTTCATTCCACTTTTATTTTCCAAAGTGAGAATTCTGGCTACAGCCATTTCAGGAAGGAACCATGTATTTTGTTGTATATTGATAAGGTGTTTAAATATTTCATTGGCATTTTACAATAATTTATAGGAGTTTAAAAATGCAGTGTTGATGTGTGAAATCACTGTTTGGACTCCTCTAAGTGCCTGAAAAGTCTGTGAGGTCAGGAACTGTATACAGTTGTGCGCTGCATAACGTTTCGGTCAACACTGGACTGTGTATATGGCGATGGTCCCATAAGATTAGTACCATAGAGCCTAAGTGTGTAGTAGGCTACACCACCTGGGTTGTGTAAGTACACTCCGTGATGTTCGAACAATGATGAGATTGCCTAACGACACATTTCTCATAACATATCCCCGTTGTTAAGCAACGCATGACCGTATACCATTTTTCACTTTATTTGTCTCAGAATCATAGGTGCTTAGTAAATGCCTATTGAATAAATGTATGGACTAGATTAGGTGCCTCTCTAATAATATGACAAGAATTCTGACTACCTTCTTTTTATTTTAAAATGAATTAATGTGTCAGCCTCACAGGAGGAAATAAAAATAAATTAAAAGAGTTTTCACTTTGTCAAATGAGAAGAATGGGTTTTACGGAATCCTGATAACCAAAAACATTTTCCTTTCTACTTAAGCAAACTTAGATTTTTTTATTGTAAGAGCAAGCCAGGAGAAGTGGATGTGTGAATGTGAGCATCTACTTTTTGTGTGTCCGTTCAGGTATTCAGTTTGTGTCTACTGCAAGGTATAATGTGGTCCTCACACTATCCAGAGACTGGTCTCTGTCTCTTTCCGGATGTGTGTCTGACTGTATGATAGAGCCACATATAAATATTTTTTGGATTAAGCTATTTATATAATCAATTGACCACTAAGTATATCCTGTCTCTTTCCTCTCTTAATAGAGATAATTGAAAATTAGTTGGTCTCATTTGGGTCAGCAGTGGTCAGCGGTCATTTTTCAGTTCTCCTTCATTCTGTTTGGGCTCTCTGTGCAGGTCAAGGATGTCAGAGATACATCACTGAATTCTTCCTAGCTGGCCGGCAGCGGTGCACCAATGACATGGCCAAAAGCAATTCTGTGGGCCGGGACAACTCTAAGGACTCAGAGGGTGAAATGATCTTTGCTGCAGAGAGCAATTGTGCCCTGCCTCAGGAAGGTGATGGAGAAGCAAGACTGGGCTCATCAGGGTCTGCTCTGCCTGCCAGGAAGCGGTCTCGGTCTTTTGAGGATGAGAGAAATCAAGCTACAGGGACCATTCAGTGGGATGGGGTTTCTAAGAAAACCCCACGGTGTCGTTTGTCTCCGTCATGCACAAAGCCCAGGGAAGCCAGGCAAGATGCAGAGGACTCTCTGTCATGGCTCTCTGCAGAATCTGGAGAATCCAGCCAAGAAGTGGAGGACATTGGTCCTGATCCCATTCCGGACTCTTACTATGGGCTTCTTGGGACCTTGCCCTGCCAGGAACCCGAGAGCCACATTTGTAGCCTGCCCAGTGAGGTCCTGAGGCACATCTTTGCGTTCCTCCCCGTGGAAGATCTCTATTGGAATCTGAGCTTGGTGTGCCACCTTTGGAGGGAGATAATCAGTGATCCTCTGGTATGTAAAATGCTTGTAGTTCCATGATGTTTTCTCTAAAAGTACATAGATTAGCTTTACTTAATGCATACTTCTGATTATAGCATTTCTTCAGAAATGGTAGCTTTCATTTGCCTCCAGAATAACATCAAGATTCACTAGAGGTGTTTAAGGCCTTCCATGTTTGTCCCACCTTATTATGCCAGCCTCCTTGCTCCCTTCTCCTCAGCACATCCCTGTGTTCTGTCCACAGCAAGTGATTTGCTGCATCCCAGCCACAGACTGCATGTTCCTTTCTGTACGTTGGTCTAATCCTGCCCCCCAACCCCACGTAAGGGGCTCTGCGTGTCACTGTTGACATCTTACCTCCTCTTCAAGGCTTCACTCTGCTCCTTCCCATTCCATCCTATTGAAATTCCTCACTTTCTCTTCCTTGTGCTACAGGTATAAATTGTGTGTTATGGGTACTACAGTTTAGATAGCCTTCTAACCCCGTTTAAATCATTAGCTCACTGATAGAAAGCTGGTCCTGTTTTTTTTGTTGTTTTTTGTGAGGAAGATCAGCCCTGAGCTAACATCTGCCAATCCTCCTCTTTTTTGGCTGAGGAAGACTGGGCCCTGGGCTAACATCCATGCCCATCTTCCTCCACTTTATATGGGACGCCGCCACAGCATGGCCTGACAAGCGGTGCGTCGGTGCGCACCGGGGATCCGAACCGGTGAACCCTGGGCCGCCACAGCGGAGTGCCTGCACTTAACTTCTTGCGCCACCGGCCGGCCCCTGGTCCTGTTTGTTTTTGCATTCTCCATTGTGCCTCATGGTATTTTACATATAGTAGGTCGTGTCCAATCACCCTGGAGTACCCTTTGAGGTTGATACAGTGGGCAGCCGGTGCTCTCAGAAAGGGTTTCTCAGTGCTGCAGTTAATCATCACTCCTCTGGTGCCCCGCCCTTCCTTTGTTGTTTGATTACACTTTTTCCCATCCCAGGTTCAGACTCTTTTGGTAAACCTGAGGGCTGGGAGAGTGTTTTGCTTAGCTTATATATCCTTTAGGCTAGCCGTTGGGAATAAATCAGAGATACAGAGATTAACTCTCCCTTCAACTATATTGAAGTTCAGAAATTCAGGGATGGAGTGCAAGATGGATATATCAAGACTTAGTACATTTTTCTTCCAAGCACAAAAGATTTTGGAGGAAATTTCACGTCACTCTTGCTCCATTCTTTGCGTGGGGTCTTGTCTTCTACTTTCTGAGAGATATGTTTCTGCTTTTAGATGTGAACTGTTTTCTGTCATAGTATTTCTACCCACTAAATTGAGATCTCTGTGATGTGAACTGCGTAGTCCTGGAAGGGTTAAGTAAGGGTTTTCTCCATTCTGCTTGAGAAGATTTTTGGGAAGATATCCCAGCTTATACTTACCTCTTGAAATGTTAGTATAATGCTATTTTTATCATCACCGTCAATGACATGATGTATGTATTTTCGGTAACCCACTATAGCTCTCATTTTCTTTTCATTTCTTACCACGTCTTTGTCTGGCCTTGGTATAAGGTTATGCTGGGCTCACAGAATAAGTTTAAAAGTGCTCCCTCTTCAGTTTTTTCGAAGAGTTTGAGGAGGATTGATGTTAATTCTTCTGTAAATATTCAGTAGAATTCTCTAATGAAGACATCTGGTCCTGGGCTTTTGTTTGTTGGGAGGTTTTTGATTACTGATTCAATCTTCCTACTTGTTATTGGTCTGTTCAGATTTTCTATTTCTTCATGATTCAGTCTTGGTAGGTTGTGTGTTTATAGGAATTTATCCATTCTTCTAGGTTATCCAATTTGTTGACACACGGTTGTTTGTAGTATTCTCTTATAATCCTTTTTATTTCTGTGACATCAGCTGTTGATGTTCCCTCCTTCATGTCTGATTTCAGTTATTTGAATCTTCTTTTTTTTCTTAATCTACCTAAGATTTGTCAATTTTGTTGATCTTTTAAAAAAACCCATTCTTAATTTCTTTGATTTTTTTTTTTTTCTATTTTTCTTTTCTTTTTTTTTGTGAGGAAGATCAGCCCTGAGCTAACATCTGTTGCCAGTCCTCCTCTTTTTGCTGAGGAAGACTGGCCCTGGGCTAACATCCGTGCCCATCTTCCTCTACTTTTATATGGGACGCTGCCACAGCACG